AAGTATTTCAGAATTTCACAGACTTACTTGATGTGTTTGCGAAGTTGCGATATGTAGCGCGGCGATCAGGGATCCTTTGTAGACGTCACTCGACCCAGGCTCCCAGATTGTTAGAGGACCTCGATTTCTTGAAAGACCGCGAAATTCAAAAATTTTCCAAAAATTAACAATTTCACCGATTTAAACAATTCTTTTTGCACGACTCTCCAATGATTCTCCACATTTGAAAAAAAAATCTTAAAATTAGGCTTCATGTGCACTTTAATATTTGACTTTTGAGTCTGTTATACGTTCGCTGTCAGTATAAGAATTGCTGTGGGTTCCTGTGGTTGTTAATCCCTACGGCTTATAACACCCCAAAACCACAACCTAGTGTTTATTTCAGCGGGAGATCCCGTACAAAAAAAAGGCCTCTCCGGCTCCTAATGCTTCAGAGCCGTCTAGTTCCCGAGCTTCTTGCCACATCTTCTTCAAGGTGTATGGTGATAAATCTTTAATTCTGTCATACCCACAGGAGAGTAGAGGCATTGTTGATTTAGGCATCGACAATGACAATATAGAGCGGGCTTGATTGTTTTGGTGTCATTTTCAACCTGTCTGGCCTTTCAAGCTACTTGAAGCCTGGTATCAGCTCCCACTCGCCGGTAGTGGTCACTGCTTTCCTGAGAAGATCTTTGTGACGTTCCTCGATGACTGCAATTTTGTCAACGAAATCGGGTAGCTCACTTTCTTTGTACTTCACTTGGTCCTTTAGGACTTCGTTCATACACTCGCTATTATTCTGGTAGTAAGGTAGAGGTGGAGAGCCGAGCCCAACTTCAGTGCGAAGGGGCGCAAGCATGTATCTTTTCATATCTTCTGCCTTATTGTTGAGAAACCACTCGTAAAATACAGGATCTAGCAGTTCTTTTCCCCACTTGTTCGGTAAAGGATAAAACGATAATACAAACACATTAAGGTTATATAAGGTATCAAAGTCATGCGAATCAAATCTTGTGAATGTTCTACGTACACTTAAAAAAAACACATTTTTAACACATTTGCGTAAGTCACTCGAGCTGATTAACTGATTAGAGTGTGTCAATGAGAGGACATACAACTGAAAAGCGTAATTGGTTGCTGCGAAAACGATTGGGGGACTGAGTAAGAATTTCTTAAATTAATCGTATTAAGAAAATCAAGAAAGAAATATGACATCAAAATTATTATTACAAAGTTTTGTGAGTTTTACTTATTTTGTATTAACAACAGCTGTGCTGCAATCTTTTCAACAAAAGTCGAATTGTATATTTCTCCATAAATTTGAAGATATTTAAAAAGTTTTCACTTCAGTTATTGCACAGAAAATGTCAAACTCACAAAAAATGATAACTTTTATGTGATCTTCCTTGTGTTGGGGTTCATTTGCTAATTAGCAAACTCGTCCCAGTCCTCTACTTGTTTTCGCAGCAGGCAATTTGTAAAGCATACCAAAAAAAGACAACAACGAAAACCTTACGTGTTAAAAACGGACGGTGTTGTTATATCCGAGTATGTCATAACCATATAACAAGGCGATATTATTGGCCAATATGTCATAGTGATAAAGACATTTAACATTGACATACCTTTAGTGAAGACAGCTTCGCTTCGAATACGTCATTGTCTTCGGAATCGACTAGACCTTCGTGATGCGTCTCCCTTATGTTGTATCCAAAGATATCACTCAGTATTTCATCTCGCAACTCCTTCGTTGCCCCAAGAGCGACAAGCGTTTGGGTGGTCTTGAAGTGACCAAAGCATCGAAGAAGTTTGACTTTTGTACATGGCTGTGATATTCCTTGTTGCAGTGTCTTTTCACCGTCGGTCTCAAACGAGTTCACCCCAGATAGAGAAGGCTTTAGTTCCACCAGTGACGACATAAATTAATAGTAGTTGGAAACCTTTTTCTGCCTGTGCACCAGTAAGGGCCCCCATTACAACCGGGTGCTTCCCAGTCCGTTTGCTTATTTCGAGTACGTGAGCATGTGTCATTACAGTGACGTCAAAGGCACCAAGATTGGAAGTAGGGTCAACCGATACAATATTAAACTTCGACGCATTTGTGGCGTTTCGTTACAGTTCTCGAAGCTGATGGTTGGTAGCCAAGATACACATAGGGTCAGGGGCGCTTTGAACTTTATGTACGAAGACAGTTTCTGGTTCTTTTGCTTGATTAACGCACATTTCCATAACGCCTGACAGGGCTTTTTTTTTTGTTTATTTAATTTTATTTACAATTAAGGAGTGGTACCACTCAAGAATTTTTTTATATATGAATTTAAATTTCTTTTTACATATATTTCAAAGGACAAACAAATGAACTAACAAAAAAAACGAAATTACTGGAATAATATTGTTATGGCTTAGTCTGACATTATGTGCTAATTAGACTGAATTGCTATCAATAGTTTATCCCATTTCTTATAATGGGTATGCGTTATGTTTTTATTTGCAGCCACTCTTCGCTCTAATTTTTCATATTGTTTTATCAAATTTTTAAACTGTTCTAATACAGGTGGTTTTTGTTTTTCTCGTTTGTATATTTCTTTTTCTCGTATGTTTGTATAACGGTTGACAGCTCATCTCTCTTTCCATGAGCATTTTTCCGTATTTTCTCGTTGTTAGTAGCGTTCCGTCGCATACTGCTCACTTGTTGTCGATTTCTTGACAACGAGCCAGCAACCTCTGCTCCTATTATGCCACGATGAAGACCATCAACAACTTCGAATGCTACCTTGGGAGTGGATTGTTGTGCCTGCTCTTTAAGTTCGGACATGGTACTTGGCAGCGTCCTGACATAGCGGCCAGTTGTCTTGGAGTTGCCATGAGGCGCTAGTTGAATGAGGGTTCCTCTCCATCAAATGCGTACTTGATCAGGCATAATGGCAGCAGTCGTTCTTCACAATCTACGTATACACACAAATCAAAACAGCATAAATGCACGCATAAAATAACAAAGACAACAACAACAAAATAGGATTATGATTATTTATGAATAAACCAATGGCTAACTGAAGAAAGGATAGCCATTAATGGTTCAACAAATGAGTGGGTATTAGTCGAGAAGGGCCTAATAGAAATCAACAAATCAAAACTGATGATAATAAATGATTGGGTAAATCAAAGAGTGAGTGAACTAATCGTTCTATCGTTTTATTCACTTTTGGAAAAAATTTAATAGAAAGAAAGTTATATGACAAATATTTTTAAATATTCCATCAACACGAATGCGATTATATTTGTTTCGATTCTTTTTTGAAAAAATACGTCTGAAAGTTGATACCATGAAATGCGAAATAGCGAACTCCCCATTAAAAAGGGGATTACAATGTTTATACTTATTGAATAAAGAAGAAAAAAAGTGAAAGACTTGAAAAGTCTTTGAAAACGAATGGCTGGGTCTCTCGAGGATGGATAGCTGACCTTCCATTTTGCCAAGTGCAGATAGTTACCAACAAGCAGCTTCGCCTTGCTGACGAGTCCATCATTGTGGTGAGTGATGTCAGTTATTCTTTACAAGCGCCACCAGTTGCGTGGACAGTCATCATCTTTGATTAGGATGATGTCGTTCAGTCTCGGGTTGCTGCATTTGCGTGTCCACTTTTGTCGCTCTTGGAGGGTTAGCAGAAATTCCTTCCTCCACCGAGTCAAGAATGCATTAGTTAGGTGTTGAACCCGTCGCCACAACTTTCTGGAGTAGAGCTTCAGAATATTCTTATGAAGTTCATCGTCGAATCTTCTAGGGATGAGAGCATCCAAAGTCAGTACAAGCTTAAATTTATACTAGACATTTTTTGTATTTTGGTATCAATATTTGGTGAACTTTATTCAGTTGTGCGATTTTCAGCACGTTAACTTGTAATGAATATTTCTCAGTTTTCTTTACATTAATATTCAACATTTATTCTTAATTTTGTTTGCTTCAGTTTGTCCATATAATAAAAGAACAATTCACGGTAATATCCTCTATATATTGAGAATATCAAATAGCATAATTGAGAATATCAAGAGATATATCATATTAACTTTCAAAACATTTCAACACTGATAGTGTGATATATATCGTGATATTATCAAAATATCGTGTCACGAGAGAGACTTAAGAAGAAGCAATTACATTGATCAATATACATATACATACACCTACTTGCAGAAACGTTGTCATAGAAAATGGAACATTTGAATTTAGTAAAAAGGAGTAAATTAAAACAAGACAAGAGAAAGCGTTCAGACTCAGTGATCTTCCTTTGTCTTTTTTAATTTATTCCTTTTTACTAAATACAAATGTCCTATTTTCTATGACAACGTTTTCGCAAGTGGGTGTATATATTAAAATTTAAGAACAAGACTGCAAGATAACAGATGGATCAAGATATACCAACTTATTAAGGATTCCATACCATGGTAGTATTACCATGGTAGTATTATTATGTGTGTAATTGATCCTATGCATAATTTGTTTCGAATCACAAAAATGAACACCAGCTCTGATCTTGGGAGAATAGCCACAAACTACGGTGGATGTACTGCTTTGCAATGGCAGAATTGGACTTTATATTACGCTTTGTATTGTCTTGAGGAAAGTCTACCAAAGGACCATTTAAATTGTTTACAAACATTTGTAATTGATTGCCGTCTATTGTGCAAGACCGCTATTACCAAAACCGATCTTG